CGCGCCGGCGTCGGTGCGACGGCACGATATGATGGAGGGATGTGCGACGTTGCATCAGCGAAACGCTCATCCGGCCGTCGCAGAGCCTTGATAAGCGATATAATAACGCTTGAGCACTTGTGTATCTTAAGTAGATATTAATCGTTGAAGTGGGTATAATTTACGTTACAATGATATCATGCGACGCTGCGAAGTTCAACCCACATGTTCAACTCCTCTACCGATAGTGAGTCATCACAACAGACAGGCGCCAATACGCATTACGCACTGGACTATGGATGGATAAAAGATAAAATGATCGCGCACTTACTCCTAGAATCGGAGAACAACATCTCGGCACCACGTACACCTAATCCTATGGATTTCGGTGGGATGAATCACTGGTGTGTTGTGTTTGGTCTGCATGGCTCATCCCCACATCGCAAAAAACAAAACAATGGTTTCAAGGTTCCAGTGCCTGCCTATCATCACTGAACATGTGTGAACCTGAGGATGCAAAATGAAAAATGTGATACAAAATCATAATTCAGCTTACTTACCAATAGAAGTTATTTCGAATTTCGATGTCTAATATGTGAGGCCTTATTTTATTTACATAGTAGGACATACCTACATTATTGGTCGCTCGATTTCAGATGTTGCTAACAATCGAATGACCGACTACCGAAACAAATTTGACATTGATGGAACACAATCAAATCTACCGGCCCTACATACCATTTGCCGAGCCTGTTGAAACACATTTATGCTTACCTGTCGGCCATCCATAGAGTTCTACATGCTTTTGACTTCATAGGATCTCGTTATAAGGTTTGTACTTTGTAGTGTCAGTATGACTCACCAAACACTTGTTTATAGTCACCGTACATACACTGATATAGGCTGCAGTTTGTTTTTGCAACTGCATCTAGCTAACGCGCCAACCTATTTACATTGAGCGATTACTTTCACATGTCGATCACTATACCATTCGGAAATGACTTTATCGCACTGGTATTTCTCGACAGAACACCTGTGACAATTTTTTTTTTCGGTATTTCTGCGCCGTAGCTGAGACCATGAGAGTGGGCCAGCTGACTGCGGTCCCTCAGTCTGCCATGGGAGAGGGAGGGAGGGGAGAGGAGCCCGACCACCCGGATCCTTCAGACGTGTGGGACGGTGTTGATTGTCAATGTCGACACATGCAAGCCGGAACGCGGCGCTTCAGGGGCAGGCAAGGTCGTTCCGCTAGCACAGGTGCAGAGAGGACAGTTCCGCTGTTCGATGTCGATTGATAGTGACCGTCTATTTTTATGTCCGTGGAGACAGCCCATATTCAGCTCCGATCCAGCCCGGACTCAGCAAGACATTTCGGTAGGCGCATTTTGTGGAGGATCCATTCTCTAATTAAGCCTGCGGAACTGCCAGTCTTTCAGGCGTAGTCAACTAAAAATTCCAAAAACAAATGCCCCAAATCGTCTCTCGAATTCGCTGTCATCGGCAACTCGTCCTTCCGCACCTCACATCAAACCGGAACCCTCACACCCGTCATCTCTCAGCGGCGGACGGACCTTCTCATCCGGTCACCTATGGCGTCCGCCCATCCCTCGCCTCGCCGACCTGTCTCAGACGCGACCCGACACGCCGGACCCGTTTTGTGACCCACTCTGGGCGTCCCCCGGCCGGGCGGCGGCCCACTTTCTGCGAGCGCCGCCGCCCGGAGCCGGAGCTGGACCGAGCCGAGCCCGGAGCCGGAGACGGAGCCGCCGCGCTGGCGTAGAAAGTGAAACGACCGCCGCTACATTCACGGCCTAGGTCGGCGGTGACTGCTTTCTCCCGCTGGCCGGCGGCGCTGGGCTGTGTCAGCCGTCCGTCCGTCCGCCGGCAGACGGTGGAGACGCCAGGAGACCTGAGGGGAACGGCGGCTCGTCACAGCCGACCCGCCTGACTGAGCACTGGGATCAGTCAGGGAAAAAGGCAAAGACGGTTACAGTAATATCGCATGATATATATGAGTTTGTGTTTGTTTGTCAGCGACATTAATGCAACGAGCCGCGCGGAAAAAAAACTTAGGCCAGCATGTTTTAGTAGAGAAGCCGTGCAGCTTATCCCTCAAACACTCGTGAGTCGTGGATGCATCAAAATATAAAAGGGCCGGCTCTCTCCTGGACCACGTCATCGTGCGGAGCTCTGACGTCACTACTGTGGCACGCGTCGTGCCGAGCTCCGCCAGTGACCATGACCTCGTCGCCGCCGACGTTCTGGTGCGCCGCGACAGACGACGGCCTGCCGAGCTGATCTTGCGCTCCACGCGCCGGCTGAGTGTCGATGCGCTGTGCTACGACCTGCTGGTGGCCGACTGGAGCTCGGTGTACGACTCGGCCGACGTCTGTGACAAGTGGTCAGCGTGGCTGTCGGTGTGGTCTCCCTGCATCGATCGTCACATGCCGCTGGTGAAAATCAAGACGCGACACCGGCCCTGTCCGTGGCTTGACGATGAGCAGGTCCGAAATGCGATGCGTGAGCGGGACGAGGCGCGTGCTGAGTGTGACCGAGCTGCTGACACTGACACACGTGACAGATACCGTGCGTGTCGCAATGCAGCAAAAAGTGCTCAGTACAGAGCCCGTGCGACCTTCTTCGAGACCTCTTACCGTCATTCCAGGAAAACAACATGGAGGGACATTCGACGCTTCATGATATCTTCCAACAAGACGAGACCGGCTCCTCTTCCTACTGAACATGTGGCAGCGCTGGCGGACCGTCTGAACGCACACTTCGCCACCGTAGGTCAGAGCGTTGCAGCCGCTGCTACTGCGAGGCGGGCGGGCGCGCGGCCGCTCGGCCCTCGCCCGCCGCGGGTGTGCAGCGCCACCTACCGAGTGAAGCCGGCAACTCTACCCGAGCTCAGCCGGGCGCTGAGTGGCATGAGCGCTTCCAAGGCCTGTGGTGAGGACGGCATCACCGTCTCTATGCTGCGCAACACTTTCTCGGTTGTCGGGCCCCACTTGCTGCATGTGATCAACGCCTCCATTGTGTCTGGTATCGTACCGCCTGACTGGAAATTAGCTACTGTCTTACCGCTTCATAAGTCCGGTAGTAAAACTGATCCAAACAATTACAGACCTATTTCTATCTTGCCGACTGTCGCAAAATTAGCTGAACGTGTTGTGTGTGACCAGCTAATGGAGTACCTGTCTGTGAACTCTGTGCTGTGTGAGCAGCAGCACGGATTTAGACCCGGCCACTCCACGGAGACGGCCATGCTCGATGCTGTGATGTATCTGACTGAGTCTTTGGACAAAGGGCAAATTGCATCTCTTTCGGCGATTGACACCTCTAAAGCCTTTGACAGCGTCGAGCATGACCGGCTCCTGGAAAAACTCGCGTGGTATGGTATTGAGCAGCACTGGTTCTGTGATTGGCTGAGTGGCCGCAGACAGCGTGTGCGGGATGGTCATGATGTTTTGCCGCTGAGTCATGGTGTGATCCAGGGATCAATTTTAGGACCAATTTTATTTTTATTATTTACAAACGACCTTTCATCTCACATCACTGGTTGTAGGCTCATAATGTACGCGGACGATGTGCAGTTCATCCACACATGTCACCCAAAAGATTTTACTAAGTTGAAAGAGCGCATTGAGGAAAGTTTAAGGATAGCTGACGCCTGGTTCTCGCAGAACAGTTTAAAAATCAATCCCACCAAAACAGATTTCATGCTGGTGCATGCCCACCAGCGGCGCTCGGTAGGCACGTTTTCCATCGACTTTGACTCATCCACTATTCACCCCTCCCAGTCTATCAAAACATTGGGCGTCGTTGTCGACAAAAACTTGACCTGGGAGGCACACGTGTCAGCTGTAATCAAGCGCTGTTATGCATGCATCTGTGGTCTATCAAAATTTTCGCAAAGACTGACCGAGCCTGTGAAAAAGAGACTTCTTGAAGCACTTGTGTTTCCTCATTTGATGTACTGTTTGACTGTGTGGGGGAGCTGCAGCAGGGCCCAGCGGTACCGCATCCAGAAGGTAATAAACCATTGTGTTCGTATTGTGAAGGGTGCTCGCCGGTATGATCACGTGACCCCCCTCCTGACGGAGCTGGGCTGGCAGCGATTTGACGATCTGTTAAATCAGCGTGATTTGGCGGCGATGCACATGATTCTGCACTCGCCTCGTTCGCCTGTGTGCCTGAGAGAGCGTGTGACTTACCGTGAGACCGTGTCAAGCCGTGTCACTCGAGGCACAGCCGACAGACTCTTGGAGCTGCCCAGGGTCCGTACAGAGATTGCTCGTCGCTGCTTTGCATTCCGTGCTGTTTCCGCATGGAACAGCAGCAAGTCGGTATCGCGCGACTCGGCGAGCTCGCGGACTTGTACTCGGCGGGCGCAATGAACGCACCACCAGCCAGCCGATATCTGATGTCTCTCATTTTATTTGTACCTATTTCTACTTTTTATTTTTATACCTACCTTTTATTATGAATGTGAATGTGCATGAATGTGAGTACCATTGTAAAATGTGACGCGTAACCGGAAGAGCCACCACGTGGAGTGTTATAAGAATACATGATTGATTGATTGATTGATAAAAGACAGAGACTTAATAATGTGACGTAATGTGACACTACAGAAAAAGACGGTGACTAGCTAGTGCTATAAGAAGCTTGTTTTATGACAAAGCTTAACTTAAAATAGGCTGGAAACAACGTTTTTCGCTGAATGTTTTGATTGGCCAGATGATTTAGGTAGTAGAGCTAGAGCTCTGACCCTACTAAAACGTAGTCCACGGCACTCATCTCCCCTCTCAAGCGCTATGTCAGTAGTTTTTACTTGTGTCCGTCGAGCTGGCTACATGCATTCTGGAGCGAAACTGTGCAGTTCATTTTCAATATTTCAAAGCATATGCTAATTACCAGTAAAGTAATTTTTATCGTTTTTCCCTGTGCTGAACTATTGCTACCATATTTTTGGTAGCTCTTTTTCACTTCATTTCTGGCGCACCTGAGACAAGTATTTTCCCCGTTTGCCGTTTGTTTACGCGCCAGTCCCCGAGTGTAGAGAGCTCGAGCGGTATATTGGAAAATATTTGCCCATAAGTTAAACTGTTTTTTTTTTCAGTAGAAATTTATTTCGACGATGCTGCAGGACGAAGAATTCGGTTCAGATTCAAGTGATGAAGATTACAAGCCTGGAGGTAAGCTGTGGTTTGATTGGTACCTATGTTGATGTTTCAGTTCAAGTTTGTCACGGCCCTGGGTTTGCATGCTTGTCATTGTTTATTGTTATTTTCAACAAACATTTGGTAATATTTTGGAAATACAGTTTGTGCTGCTAGTGTTATATTTCATTCATAATTATCTCACTTTTTTCCCATAACATAAGGTAGTTCAAGCTGATAATGGTTAATGGCAGTTTGATTGCTATTTAGGTACTCACGGAAAGTGCAAGGCGGTTTCCCACTGCATAAATTATTCATAGCCATGTATTTTCTTTAAAGGAAACAGTTCACTTTAACATGGGGTTTTGAACAGGACAGGAATAGCAGTTTCATAGCTTGATCTGAGGCTATTACAAATCAGGAGGTTTTATGGCCCAACAACCACCCTAGACAAAGATATTCCATTTTGATTTCCCCTTCTGTAAAGAGTGCCCTGCAGAGGAATGCATGCCTTGCTGAGGAATGCAGCCATGTCATCATCAGCCAATCAACATGCTGCTTACAATCAATGCAGCATGCATAGGTTTGAACTTTGCGATATGATTTGGTTAACGCATAATAAGCTTCCGCGTCAAACATTATTTGATGTTGAATATACAGGGTGTCTCAAAAGTTCGCTTACACATTTCCCATGTCAATAAAGCATATAAGAACCGGCCAAAAATCTAAGGTTTTGGTGTCCGTGTGTACACCAGACAAATATGCATGCTTTGACAACTGATTCGGAAGGTTGGAAACCAAACCCTTTGCTGTATCTCCAAAAATATTTGCCCATACCGATTTTCGTCACTCCGTCAGCTGCCGGAGGCTGATAAAAGGTTACCAGCTTTCAAGCTCTTGTAGGTGAATCCCCCGCAGTTTCTGCGTCGGATTTAGGTTTGACGAGCTCCCCGGTAACATCCGCTTCTCCCTGAAAGCCGATAGCTTGCATCGACACCATCCGTGAGTATTTTGTAGGTCTTCTCTGGCGCTAACTCCTTCATGAATGACTGGCGCCGACCTCCCAAGCACCATTTTCCTTTTCAAAACAACCCCATTCCTGAACAAATGGGAAGTGCCAGGGGCAAATTTTTCGCAGCATATCGTAGCAGAATGTGTCGGCCATCTGTTTCTTAGACACATTTTGCAAAATTTGCAAATCCCGAACGCTCGTCATTCCCAATGCCAAGACCTTCGCTGGGTTCCGGAGTGTTTTCCTCAGGAGAGGTTCTGCTTCGTAAACGGCCAAAACCTGTCCATCGTGCGGTTTTGTCCGGATTTTGTGTGTAAAAGAAAGCTATTTGCTCCAGATCTGCCTCTTGAAACTTCGTTAGATAAAACTTTACATTAATTGACAGTTTTGGAGGGTCACTTGTCCTCGGCATTGACGATTTTCGCATTATTTTCCCTCAAAATTTAGCGTTGTAGATATTATAAACAATTTTAAATGATATTTTGTCTTTACTTTATGATGACCTGCAATTTTTGAAACTGGGTAACCTCTGTCTGTGAGCTCCTAGTCAGTTTTCAATAGTTAGGACTGCATTTTCAGCTGCTTTCCGGAGCACGAGTCTGCTGCGGTACAAGGGTCGTTCAAAGCGCTGTTAGTCTCGCATGGTTTTGTCCTTCAAAAATGTTAGCCACCGTTTTTATTAGATGACCATCATGTTGTACTCATCCTCGCCGACACTTTGCCATGTGTCATTTCCGACCTAACCATTCCCATTACTCGTGAAGCAGAGAGTTTCTCAGCCGACCCGAGTATGCGACCTCCATTTTCATGCCTGATCCATGGTCAGAGGTGAACCCTTTTTGTGTGCTCATGAAGGGTCGAATGCGCTTGAAAACAATGAAGCTGCTTGAGGAAGGTTGTTACCAATGCCCATGCAAAATTTCGACTGTTAATTTCATGTTGATTCAGAATTATTGACAAAAAAGCATGGCTGGTACCTGTAAGCGAACTTTTGAGACACCCTGTAGTTCTTCCTGTATTAAAAATAGAAAATAATCCTTTTTGCAAAAAGGTTTTATTTTATGTTCTGATCATTTTAAGCACAAAAATGAAATCCATTGCAAAAAACTAATTTCAGGAAAGTGAACTATTCCCTTTAAAGGATCCATTTCATGACTGTCAGAGGTTATATATTTTTTAATGTCTCATCAGGATTAAGTTAATGTTGCCCTGGGATAAGTTGTATACCAAATTATTTTTATTTACCTATTATGGAAACAAGTTGCATTGATGAAGGTTTTGTGGAAATGTGCACAGTGGATCTTTGAAATCTGTAATCATCAGCACATAATTGGTGATGATAGTTGTCAGCTTATTTGGACCTTAGTTCATCATCCATCCATCTGCTGTTTACAGGCGAATCTGACGTCAGTGAGGAGGAGGGTGAAGGAGACCCAGAAGATTTTGAACCACAAGATGAAGGATGTGAAACCAAAGGCAAAGTTAAAGGCAGGAGGAAAAGAAAGAATGATTCATCTAATCCAAGGCAAGTTACTTTCATGCTTTGATAATTCACAATGAAAAGTATTGAAGCCTTTTGCTTCTAAATTAGTGGGAGGAATTCATGCCCTGTTGGGTTGGGGAAGGTAGGGTAAAAAAGCTTAAAAGTACTTCATTTTGTTAGATTAATGTATCCTCACTGCTACATTAAAAGTAATATAGCAGCTTCCATTTAAAGACATGATGTGGAGATGAATTGTGAATTAAAATGAAATCGGACTTACTCCACAAGAGTTCGTTGGGTCGGAGCTTTCGAATTGTATTACAATTCTTCGTCAGCGAGAGTCGTATCGGATGTTAAGATCGAATCGAAGGTACAGTGCGGATCGAACAAAATATGGTTCGATATATTTTGTTCGATCCGCACTGTACCTTCGATTCGATCTTAACATCCGATACGACTCTCGCTGACGAAGAATTGTAATACAATTCGAAAGCTCCGACCCAACGAACTCTTGTGGAGTAAGTCTGATTTCATTTTAATTCATAGCAGCTTCCAATTATTCGTGCATGTTTCACAGGAAAAAGAAGATGCTAGTGTTAGAAGGTGAAAAAGAGGCGGCCCCAGTGAAAGATGAAGAAAATGAGGAGCTGAAAATGGCCATAGAAGCAGAGAAAGAAAAGAAAAGGGAGGAGGAAGAAAAGAAAAAGGCAGATGATCTATTTGCAGGTGAGCTGTTTGCTCACCTTTCTTGTTTTTATTCTTGCTCTTATTTTGTTCGCTGGTAAGTCTGTGTTGACTTGAGTTGACGATAGGCATTCCTACTTAGTTATTTATTAACAGATAGAGAATGCCTAAAGCTGGAACACTTCTCCATTAATCTGTCCCATAGCATGCAGTCTAACATTACCTGCTCCTTTCCTTCAGACTTCATGAAGGATGTCAGTAAGCCGAAGCCACGACCGAAGCCGGCGGCCGGCGGCAGTCTGGGCTCTCTGATGACGTCAGCGGCACCGGGAGGGAGCACCGGGTCAGCTCAGAAGAGCGTAACACCCACCGCGTCGGCCGCCTCCGCCCGGCCGACCCAGACCCAGCCGGAGAAGGTCACAGTCACTAAGGTGTTCGACTTTGCTGGGGAGACTGTCACGTGAGTAAACTACAGAGACGAAGAACTCCTGCCTCAGAATGAGCGCTTGTCCAACTGCATCTGAACTTGATGGTTTCGTCGGTTTGGTTTCGGTATTTTTCCATGAATATTTTTGGTATTTGGTTTGGTATCGGTATCACGATTTTCCGTAATTGACATCACTAATTATTAGTGCCCTCCCCTCTGTACCACATTTTCGCGTTCAGCAACGCCTGTTTCTCTTCTCAGGGTAACAAAAGACGTGGACGCCAACAGCCGCGAGGCAAAGAAAGCGGCGGCGGGCGAAACCAGTAGTTCTCAGGCAGCTCCAAAGACGGCAGCACCGCTGCGCCGCGGTGGCCTGGCCGGCCTGGTGAAGAACCTCGGGAAGGCTCCCAAGATGAGCGTTCTGGAAAAGTCTCGGTTAGACTGGGTCGGCTTTAAGAAGGAGGAAAACCTAGAAGAAGAGCTGGAGCAGCACAAACGGAGTAAAAACTCGTGAGTACTACTTACGGCTTCGCGGATATTAGTATGCTTTAATGGAAAGTGAATGAAACGATGCTCTGTGACATGTCTGAAGGCGGCAAAAGAATATTTTGACCTTAACGTGGTAAAGTTCCATAGCGTGGTTATCTGTGAGCTGAGATTCACGATAGACTGGCTGATGTCTGCCTCGATTTCCGCAGATACTTGGAGAAGCAGGAGTTTCTGCAGCGGGCGGACCAGCGTCAGTTTGAGCTGGAGAAGGCCATCAGGGAGCGGCACCGGACACCCAGATAGGTCCCGTCACTCTCTCCCTCTCTTTCTCTATCTCCTCTCCTCCTCTGTTAGCGCCGTAGCATAATTCCTCTGTTCGCTCATCGTCATTCCGTCGTGCTGCCGTTCGCTGTTTGTCGTTGAAGACATTGACCGTACGGGGCCCCAGCGGTGTGCCGGGCTTACCGTACCGCCCTGGCTGTGTGCAGCTCAGATCGAGTCGGCTTTTCAACACCCGTACCACCCATCATACTCCCGTGGAAGTTAAGTTACTCGAGGCTCGATTTTCGAGGTTCGAGATGTACTCTGAGGTATGCTCTTGATGTAAATGTTCAGAAGCCTATTGTGAGTCAGCGGGTATGCATCCCTCTTTATTTTGTCATTGGTTAACCGACCAGCCAAGAGCTGCACTGCCTCCTCGGCCCGGGCTGAGGTGGCAGTCCAATACACACGCTGAAATGCCCACTGACAACTGTATTAAAACGGGATCGCTCACACACAGGGATACACTTGGGCTGTCAATGGGCAAGTAACACTTTTGCACGAGGGGTTTGGCTGGCGGTCAGCGGGCGGGGGCGGCATGGGGGGGGGGGGTCGTTGAGACTGCTACAGTACCTGCTCCTCGAATTGCCTGAGTATAGTTGTCTGTCGTTCTTTCATAAAATGCTATATTCTTCCTAAGAGGACCTTTTTAGCTAAAGACTTTCTTCTAAGAAGGGAATAATTGTAAGTTCTGTAGGCTAAAGAACCGACATACGACTAGTGTCTACCTACTATTACAATTTGATACCTTCTCTGTTTTGCTAAGTTTGACGCTTGGTTTATAATAAGATTACTTGGTGAACCTACTTGAAGCAACCTACCTCTAAATGTTGATCCGTGTTGAGGTATACGTCCGGCAGTTATTCCTTTGATTGCGGTCCTGATGGACGGATGCGGTTCAGTAAGTCAGTTCGAAAAAAGGAGATCTGTACGGAGTGGTCAAATCACACATTTTTGGTGGCGAGATCTGTGCTAGTGGCATCTATCGCTACTCGCTTCTGTTGGGAATAATGCGGGGAGAAGGGTCAGCTCTTCAGCAATCGTGCCAGCCAGCGAGTTTTGCTAGCGCTGGCGGACATCTAGCGTCGAGCTGGGTGACTAGAACTTTGCTTAATCGCCGGCTGGTGCCGCTGCGGTCGCGCCGGTACGCCCTATGGCTGAGGCCTCAGATGGTCAGCAGGTCCATGGTGAAGGCGGCAATCAGGTCCGTGTTCTGCGTGGCCTGGCGCTGACGGCTCTGGTGGTAGCTGTTCGAGTAGTCCTGGTGGAATGCAATAGAGTTTGAGAATTTTGCGCATTGTCTGAGGAATCTGCCTTTTTAAAGGCTTGACAACTTGTGATTTTCCACATTAGTTCTGTTAATTTTCCGGTTCTTACTGAAAACTATTAGCCAAGCATCTGCCTGACTTGATTAATGTTACTTTTACCGATGCATGGTTGGAGATTTAAACAATGCAGGATGCAGTCCATTCGCACTTGAATAATGGAATATTCGTAGTTTGAAATTGCGTCAGCTTCTATTCTGGGATAGCTTTCACCTTTACCTGGTGCGAATAGCAAGACTGATCTCTGCTGATGTAAAAAGGTGCGCAATATCCCCATTATAGTTGTAAGTTTTCACTTTCTGTGCGTCAGTAATCAGTATTCTCTGATTACCTTGAGCCGGTTTCCGAGGAAGATGGCTCGCTCTCTGCGCTTCTGCATGTACTCGATGGACATGAGCCAGCGGTGCTCCAGGCACTGGTCGCACGTGGGGCGTTTGCTGGAACACGTGGGACGGTCACTAAGACACGTGTGATACCTACTGCGACGTGGGAGACGAATACTAAAAGCTGGGGACAATTGATTTGCTTTTGGACTGAGGTCCTGCCAGCATGGAGAGAAAATTTCACTTGATTTGTTTGACGTATCGCGATTACCTTCTACATCCCAATGTGACCATTTTTAATTGATAGTGTCATTCTGTCCTGCCAATTTATATTTGAATAATTCAGCAATGGTTTAATTAAACCTCATTTTTGTCATTTTCCCTTGTCGCTTCCACCCTGTACTAACCTGGGCGCGCGCCTGAAGAGCGTCATCAGGAACCGTGTGGCCTCGTTGGTGATCTCCTTGTGGAGGTACTCGAAGCGGAAGCGCACGTAGAGCGTGTTCTGTCGCGTCTCGTCCTCAGTGTCTCCGAGGAAGGGCGCCTGGCCGGACAGCAGCAGGTAGGCGATAGCGCCCAGAGACCAGATGTCCGTCTGCGGGAAGGCTGGCTCGTCCACCAGCAGCTCCGGCGCTGTGGGAGATGGTGGGAGAGAGTTAGTGTCTTTCAGGGTTGAGTGAAAGCGATAGGAAGAGTGAGTTGTAAGAGTTTAGTCGCCAGCTGGGTCATCATGGCCTGTGTCGTCAGATGATATTTGGGAGGGTGTGATTCGTTGAGAAATTAACAAATCATGTCTGAGTGATGGTAATTGTGTTGTTGTGGGATGCAATCTTCTTGCGAGGATTTATTTCTTTATTCTTCCATTCATACATTTACTCATGTATCAATTTATTCACTCACTAATACACCCATTCGTTCATTGTTTCATTCCTTAGTTTGTTCGTGCTTTCGTTCGCTCTTTCTTTATTCCGTTTAATCATGCATTCATGCATTCATTCATTCATTCATTCATTCATTCATTCATTCATTCATTCATTCATTCATTCATTCATTCATTCATTCGTCATAGAAAAATTGTGCTGCGAGCTGGAGCCACCGTCTTAACCTGCACTACCTCGTTCTTGTTCGTCCTGAGCCGTTCATTCCTTCTCTCATCTATCATTCCAATCGTGCTCGTTCCCTGTGGTCTTGTCCCCTATAGCCACTGACCGACCCCTTAGGTCACTAGATACTGACCGGTGAAGTCGAGGTGTCCACCGGCGCGCACCATTTTGCCCAGCTTGCTGACGCGCTGCGCCGAGCCGAGGTCCACCAGTTTGACGCTGAGGCGGCGACTCGAGGTCAGCACCACGTTATCGGGCTGCAGGTCCAGGTGGGCCACTCCGCGCCAGTGCAGGTACTGCAGGCCGTCCAGCATCTGAGGGACAGGTCACATTCACGGTCAGGTTAGGTCAGGCGAATCCACAGGCCGCGATTGACGTTTGGCATTATTTGAAACCTATGCGATTGTGAACGTCGGACATTATTCGGCATATCAATGAGCGAGAGGTCAGTTCCTTGGTCTGATTCGAAGGGCTCTTGGTTTTGATCATGGTCTGCAGTGGCTCGTTCACGAAAAATAGATTCACTCCAAATCTATTTAACGATGGGCCGTTCCCGATTTCTCCACCGACCTGTGTGACCACGGTGGCCACCATCTCCTCGGAGTAGTTGTGCTGCGCCTGGAAGAAGCTGAGCACGTCCTGTCCCAGCAGCTTCTCCATCACCAGCACCAGCTTCGTGTCCATCCTGACGGCGTGGGCGGATGCGGGGTCATCGTTTAGTGATGTTGTCGTGAGGTGGAACATTTGAAACGGGGCTCGGAAGGTTGATATTTAGTTTTGTAACGATACACGAGTAGTTAGCTTGCCGACCATCTGCGTTCTGCGTTATCAGTACTCAACACAAAAATGAAAGCTTAACACTTCGGCTGTATAAAGCTACCGCATATCGCCAATGCCAGGACTGTCGCAATGCTCGGCTATCGCCCTTCACGATAGTTGCTCGCACTCTGGGAAGTCCTCCCCTCTCACCTGTAGGCGTCATACAGGGCCGCCACGCGCTCATGTCTCAGCGAGCGGAGCGACTCGAACTCGGCCAGCGCCTGTTCGAGGCTGTCCTCTGAGCCTGCCTCGATCAGTTTGGCGGCGCGGATTGTACCGGACATGGTGTGCACGCAGGCGGCCACCAACGAGAAGCGTCCTCTGGGGGAGAGGGGGAGGTCAGGGTGTTGTCCCTGGGGAGGGTTAGTGTCTGGGAGTGATGAACGGGTATTTTGAATAAGAGACGCGGAACAGTTGTAAACAAATGATGGTCGGCTGTTAGCAGACGACAGCCTGCTGAAAGGACACACTGCGATGTTGGTAGATACCGGGCATTGAACGCCTCTCTGAAGCTGTCCGTGTATCTCACCTATGTATCTCGGCGAGGAAGGTGTAGGCCTGCTCGGGCGAGCCCTCGGTCAACGTGACGGGGCTCTGCTCGGCCTCATAGTCGAGGTCGGGCCGCGCCTCCAGGTCGGCTGGCTCCTGGCCGAGCTCCGTCATCTGCATCAGCAGCGACTCCAGCTTCCCCAGCTCCAGACGCTTCGGCCAGCCTGGAGGAGAGAGGTGACAAATTATGAGGTTGAGACAGAATAAAACTGTTTTTACGTAACCCAAAATTCTATGATCGACCGGCCGGGGTATGAAGGTCGCTTTTCTTAAAATTAATTAGTTTGCCAGTAACCATTCGACATTACTAAATCGACGTAACTAAATAATTTTTAAAAAGTTGCTGTAAGAGAAGAAGTGACGTTTGAGCTGGGCAAAAGGCTCACTCCTTGCGTCCTGTTAAAAAGTGAGGTTTTTGTGAGGCTGCACATCCTGTGGCTCACCTGCACCGCGTGTACGGACGGTGGGCGTCGGCACGCTGTACGGCCCCCAGCCGAGCTTGTTGCGCGCCTTCAGGCGGAAGTGGTAGTTGGACTCGGGCTTCAGGTCCTTGACCAGGTAGAACTCGTGGCCGATATTCTCCGCAATGTCCGTCCACTGGTGCTCGACTGGCGGACGGTGGAAGAGCTGTCACTAAGGCTTCAATGACTCACAAATCCTCATTTTTCCAATTGGTATGTTGCTACTTGCTAATCATACGAAATTTATTAGCACATGTAGATCTGATACACCGCAAAGCTCAGTGGCCCTTTCCGTTCCTTTTTACTGCACGATTGTCCCTACAGACTATTTTCCTCCGCAGATCGAAAAAGGCATTTAACCCGCGCTGGGCCGGTGCTCTGAAATTCCGCGCCGGGCCGCGGGGGGTGTCTGAACACCCCCCCCTTCTAACTAGGCTCCTGGGCCACGTAGCGACACGTGGTAAGCGGTAATCGAAAGAACGTCAAAAATAAGGACGAAAACACTTCGGTCATTTTTTTTGGGTCAGGTCAAAAGTCAGGTCACCAGACGTCACCAAAGGTAAAATGTTGACTATTTCAACATTTTGGAAACTGCCAACGGCTATCTCGGGAACCGATAGAGCTACAGCGCCGCAAAAAAGCGCACTCGATAGCCCTTTTACAGACCTTTCTGAGTAATGTTCTCAGATTTGACCTCAGGTCAACGGTTTAGCCTCCAGAGGGCAAAAACTCCAAAAATAGCCGTTTTTACGAAAAACGTTTTTTCGGCAATAACTTTTGACTCAAAAGAGCTATGACATTACTTTTGCCAGCATCGTGTTCCTCTCGTCGAGACGCGTCGAATGAACTATAATTTGACCTTGAAAGGTCAACTTGAAAATTTGACTCAGGTCAAGGTCATGACCTGACCGGAAAAGGTCATGTTGCATATCAGTCGATCCGCAACGTCGAGCCGAACACATCTAAGGCATTTTCAGCGCTCTAGCACGCCTCGATCAGAAGTTCTCATCGAAAAACTGTTAGATTCTGTTCGTGACCTGAGATGACCTCGGGGACATAACGAGGGGTCACAGTTGCCATTTTCTGGTTCAGTGTGTCTATTTTACCTACATCTCGATGTTTGAGAGTGTCTACAATAGCGTTCGTGCAAAACAGGCGCTTTTCAATTTTCTCCCATTGACTTATAATGGAGAGGCCGCAAAATTGACCTGACCTTAGGTCACCGATATCAAAATTCTGAGATATACATTTTATAGATAGTGTTGCTCTAATCAATCACTGAAAGTTTCAAGGCAATCGTTCAGTCGGTGTAGCTATGACGAGCATTCTTATTTTTTCTGAGGTGAGGTCACTTGGCGTGACCTGGTGACCTGACCTAAGGTGACCTGGGTCTGAAATTTTCACATGTGCGGAAAAGATGCACGAACAGGTGTGCCGCGCCGCCGTTTTTGAGATATCTGCGAAAAACCGCAAGGGGGTGTTCAAACACACCCCCCCGGCCCGGCGCGGGTTAATTCTCCGGTCCGCCTCTCGCACTAACCCACCAACCCCGCTGTCCATCCCGACCTTCTCACTCACTGAGCTGCTTGGCCTGCAGGCCGTAGGCGAGGATGGGCGAGTAGCCGGTATCGGTGGGCACCTTCCAGCGCAGCAGCACCTCTGTGTCTGTGTAGTCGGCCACATCGGGCAGGTCACACGTACCAGGGTCGTAGCCCAGGTACAGACTGGAGGAGGGAGGGATACTGAAGTGGTGATGGATGTGTAGACAGTGGTGGGTGTTTCATGTTGGCTTCATAGGTTTAAGCGCAACGTAGGTATAGTAACTTTGATCCACGTCTAGTTCAAAACAAAAATGGATTTGGAGAAACAGCCAAAGTCGTAGTTAAATAGTTTACTTTTGTTTGGAGAAAGTCTAGAAATTTGGTAGTCGAGTGGCAGTCAGAGCTGTGGGATAAAGCTCTGACTTCTAACAGTACTTCTCAACATTCCTCACTCAAACTTTAGTTCACCGGGCTTCCTTGACCACCCGTCTCGCATACGCACCGACACTTGGCCACCGTCTGCCCGACGTTGTTTCGGCAGATGACCTTGTAGACGCCCTGGTCAAAGTCCATGGCCGGCTGCAGGCGCAGGATGGAGCGGCCCGTGGCGGCCTCCTCTAGGATCTTGATGCGACGCGTCTCGCCAATCACCACGTCGTTGCTGAAACAAATGTGTTAGGATTCTGGATGGAGCATGATGACTAACGGACATGTTCGTCGGCATGTTTGTTGTGTCGATTCACACTTCTTTTATGATTGTGCGTGTGCCGCGAGAAAGCTAGCATTGATATCTTATTGACATGTTTCATGACTGATTCTACATATTGCTAAAATACTTGCAGCGCCAGTTCGAGGGTTTACTGTATTGTACCGGGTAGTAGAGTTGACTTACCGGAACCACTGTACGATGGGTTTGGGGTTACCGACGGCGAGGCAGGAGAGCTCGGCGGCCTGGCCCTCCTGGATGGCCATGTCGAATGGCTTCTCACGGAAGTACGGGAACTGAGGGAAGGAGATGCAATGCATCATTTCCAGCTCCTGAGATTGTGAGTGGTTGAGCTGAACTTCCAGTAAATACGCTGGCTATCGGCTAGAAGTCATTTTTGTTTTGGCATTTTACTAGCTAAACTAGTCGGTCCGTTTATCTTCACATTTATCTCTTCAATGACACCCTCCGTCTGCCTCTCCCTTAATCCTTCCTTTCCCTGTGTTCACTCTTCCTTCCCTCCTTATCCTTCGCCTTCGTCCCTCCCTCCCTTCCCTTCCCTTCCCTTCATTCACCCACCTGGCCCTGCCTCTTCTGCTCCCTGACGGCGTCAGCCTCCGCCAGCGCTCTGGGTCGCGCGCTCAGCTCGTAACGCAGGCGGCGCGGCATGTAGTGCCCCTGCTCGGCGCTGTACTTGTCGATACGCGAACGACGCTCGTCGTCAATCTCCTCGTCCATGATGTCGGTGAACCGACGCCGCTCGTGCAGAACTGGCAGCTGTCGGGGGGGGGGGGGGAGGGAGTTTCAGAGGAGTTCCAGGGTAGCTGGTGCGAGAGGGCCCAGTGGCAATGACGGAGTCTTATTACGAGTCATTGAATCTGACAGATAACAGGATATTGAGAAAGCGGCATTGATAATTAATCTAGCAATAGCGGTTCCTGATTTATGGTGGACGTATGGGATTGGCTGATGGTGTAATCGCTTGTCAGTTTGCACATCCCGGGAACGATTATTCTTTGAATGGAAAAGTATGCTTCTGGATATGTGTTGACTATCTAAGCTGGCTTTAATTCTGAACAGGTAGATACTGCACGATTTATCTTCCCTGTAATGCAGTTCTGAATTAAGCATCGTTTGAAATGAAATGTCCAAAATTAGTGCGAAAAGCTCAGAAGTTATGCTTATCAATGCTACCACACAATAAACACAACCATGACGCCTATGGCAATGCTGAGTGGAAAGTTCGTTAGAATTTGATTTGAGCCATAGATGTCTGGTGTAGTGCTGAATCGCACTGCGCAGCATGACTCGTTATTTAGTTTGCTCTAGTCGCTCGATGTCTGGCGCAGTGCGCCTGAAGCATACTGTGCCGCATGGCTTGCTAGTTTTTGTTCTAGCCGATAGATGTCTCTGGCGCAAGGCGCCTGAAGCATGCTGTGCTGCATGGCTCGCTAGTTTTTGTTCTAGCCTATAGATGTCTCTGGCATAGTGCGCCTGAAGCATACTGTGCCGCGTGGCGTGCTAGTTGCTGCTTTAGCCGATAGATGTCTCTGGCGTAGTGCGCCTGAAGCATACTGTGCCGCATAACTCATTCAGGGCTCTACCGTAGCCGCGCAGTGTAGTTCAGTGGCAAGGCAACATTCGCTGCATGCTTTACCGAAAGTGCTACAAGCTTCAAGGCGAAAGAATTGCGGAAGCGACAGTCAAGTCAAGTTTGATAAATGCATCAGTCATGCTACCTATTTTTTTTCTGGCAAACGCAAAAAAAAAAAAAACGCTCAGAGAAGCGTGCCAGTTCATTCGTCAGCCGTCGTCGGCGATCGATAGCAGCTAATTTCGATTAGATAGATCGGCATGTAAAGTTAAAGGCACTACTGTGTTTATCTTGTTCTTTGTTGTCTGTGTTGCACGTAGCATATCAAAGCACATCAACTGCTTAGGTACTGCTACCTTGAAAATTAAGTCTACCGAAGTGCAGAGGAGTGAATCAGTTTCTGTCCCGCAACTTGACATTTCATCCAATAAAAGCCATGGTGAAGCATCACACGATAAACTGCACTAAAAAAATCAGCTACTTAGGCACTACCTTCAGAATCCCACGCTCAATCACAAGCCGGCGATTCTGCGTTATACCTGGCACCAGGTGGGCAGCTTCGGTTTAGTCTGGGCCAGCTCGACGCCGTCAGCGACATCTATAGATGACGCCACTGAGCAGACGGAGCCGGCTCGGGTCGGATGGGGCGGCACCAAACCGGAGACGGATCCGGCCCGGGAGCTCTGCGGTCCCCGTGGCTCACAAGTTAGTCACGCACATTTATCATACGAAAATGTAAGTCATGCGGAGTAACATTCTCGAAATTGCAAGTACCTCGAGCAGAACAAAAATATTATAAGACAAGAGTGGTTAATGCGAATCGACAATCGACATAAGAGAAAAAAGAAGAATGCGAAGAGAAACGAAACGAAGAGATTGCCGAAATGACAGCAAGAACAAAAGATATTGGTGTTGGATAAATTAGGGTGGAGGGTGGGGGTGTCTCAAAAGAGGGCTGACGGCTCACCTGTTTCGTTTTAGGACGATTTTTTTCAAGAAAGGTATCGGGTGGTTAGGGCTTAATACAGCCTTTTGACTAAGCTGTATTAAACGATTATAAGTTACATACTCTCAAAAATTAGCTTTGACTTACAGTTCTGTCGTACATGGGCTCGTCGAGCGCGCGCTGGGCGAAGGTGGGGGAGCGGTCGGCGGCCACCTTGATGTATTGACGCAGCCGGGAGGGGAGGCCGGTGTCGCGCAGCTGAAGCAGGTAGGTGTCGGGACCCTGCTGGTAGCTGAGAAGACAGGGGAGGGGAGACCAGTGTCGCGCAGCTGGAGCAGGTAGGTGTCCGGACCCTGCTGGTAGCTATACAAACAGAGGGGGATGTGCGTTGGAGTCACATTCCTCTAATAATTTCGATTTATACGTATGCATAATACCTTTTTCCTAGTTTTTCGTCCGTCCATTGTCTGCCACCAGCTATTCTGTAAATTGCTCGTCCGCTGTCCCATTACCAATTTGAGCCCCCCCGGCTCTCGGCTCCCTGCCCCTACCACCCTCTCTCCCCCTCCCCTTCACTGACTGGCTCTCGGCCCCGATCCACTCGAGCTGGTCGTCGAGCGGCGGCTCTCCGTCCAGCTCCTCCTCCTCCGCGGCGTCCTCCAGGCGCGGCGGCGCCCACTTCTCCTTCCGCAGCGGCTCCGGCGACGGTGGCGGTGTGTACGCCACGTCCGACGGGTACACCATCTCACTGGGGTGCTCGAACGCCGAGCTCAGCGGACGCCGGCGGAACCAGGTCTGGCAGGAGGCGTTACGGTACCATGCTCTGTGGAGAGAGGAGATGCATGGGATCGATCAGTTTGGGGTTGACCAGGCAGAGACTGTTTCAGATGCTCAGAATAGGGAACTTGGTCTCGATTAGCAGTTCGGTCCAGACGATTCTCTGTCGGTGGGAGAATGCCGGACAGTTGGGAGGGTCGCTAGCTTTTAAGCTGCCTTTAGTTACTTTAAAAGAAGCTGCTCGTCGAGCTGACCTGAATTTATCCAGGTAGAGTTTGAGCCGATCGGTGGACCTGTCCTTGACCGAGGTCGGCGTGCGGTCAGCGAACGCCAGCCACGGGTGTCTGAGCGCCGTCTTCACGTCCGGCCGACCGGCAGCGGGGAACACCAGCAGCTTGGCGATAAAGTCCTTCGCCTCATCAGAGATCTCGGCGAACACCTCCAGGTCGTATTGCATTTCGCCAGACTGGATCCGCTTCAAAGTGTCCCGGTCTGTCTCCCCTCTGGCGGAACGAGAACGGTTTGTCAAAATACGTACATGGGAATTCACAAATGGAGTCTTATCAAAGCTTATCACGCGTTCTCTCGCTGTATCCCTTTCTCGGAGTATGTAGAGAGGGTCCGACGACACCTCACGCACCGGAAGGGCGACGTTCCGGACAGCAGGAGGTAGGTGATGACTCCCACGCTCCAGATGTCGGCCGGAAGTCCGACGCTCTCCCCGTTCACCGCCTCGGGAGCCACGAACTCCGGCATACCTGCGGCGAGGGAGGACACGAACGTTGCGTCAGGTCATCATCTCAATACAGGTAAACACAACCGTCTGAAAATAGCCTACCCAAATAAATGCAGGAGTTTGGTAATACATGTAAAGGAATATATGCATAAACGACTGGGAGATAGCTGCAATAATTTACCTTCAGTCAACAGACGAAAAAGGAGCTCAGTACGTGAGTATAAAACACCGATAAGGCTCATTAACAGTAAGCGGACACATTGACGATCCTGATTTCAGATACATTGAATGCCGGCTCTGCTGCACGTCTTTAGGCGTTCCTACCGTAGTCGAGACGCTCCGGCTTCTCCGGGTTGATGTGTCGCGCCAGACTGAAGTCGATCAGCTTCACCTCGTCACCGTTGGGACGAGAGAAGAGGATGTCTCCAGGCTGGAACAGGGCGTGATCGTGACACAGGGCAGCTACAACATGGAACCTATGTGGATGGGAATAACTGATGAACCTTTTCGTTCCGCTATCTCAGGTTCTTCTGGGGCAATGTGCTCAGGTAATGTTGTGCAAGCTCTTTAAAGCAAGTGTACTATCCAAGCATTCACGACAGGAATGGTGCTTAATTTGAGGCAATGTAACCCATGAAACCAATGAACAATGCGGCCAATGCCATGACTATGTATACGGAATTAAGTCAATTACTCAAACCTCACACCAACCTACCACCCTGGAATCCATCTCTCCGGCACCACCACGTACCGTCAGACCGAGATGGGCGATGTGCTTGAGGTGCATACTCTGCAGACCCCAGAGCACCTGTCGGATCACACTGGCCACATCCGACTCGTTGTAGGTGGGCTCTCTGCAGAGCGCCTCGAGCACCTCGCCTCCGCTGCACAGCTCCTGGACCAGGATCAGCTGCCGGGGCGACTCGTAGGCGTCGTACAGTCGCGCCAGCTGCCGGTCGTGCAGCTGGTTCATGATCCACATCTCGCTGTTCATGCTCAGACGGTGCTCGCCCTTGCCGTTCATCGCCTTGGCGGCGAAACTGCAGCCTGTGGTCGGTGGGAGAGAGATATTGTAGATAGGGGTTTGTTGAGACGGCTTCGATGAGCTGGTAGATTGAGATTCGCGTTTGGTTTACTGACTATTATACAGGGTGATTTTTTTTAACTGTTAAAAAGTAAACGTCAATGGTGGTCCCTAAATCGAAAAATCGCGTGCAAAAAAGCAATGCACGTGATAGATAAATCTGGGACATTTTGTATGGTGTCATGATTAGTCCCTTTTAACCGAAGGCCTCGGCCCCAATGGAGCCTGAAAATGTCCCACCAATCGGGCACGCATGGTCCACCGCCGTTCAGTAAGGAACGACACAAAACGATGATTTTGAAGCATCGATGCAGTTGGAAGCATACGATCATCAAGGAGATACCTCAGAAAGACATTAAATAATGCACGAACAAGCTTGCAGTCATAAATAACCTTCAAACGGTCCATGTGGCGTATGTGCAGCCTCTGAAGAATCAGGTCTTTAGGGAGAAACAAAAACAGCGAATCAGACACCACCAGGGCCGCCAGTACCAAAATCATCGATCTGCCCTTTCTAGACTTCTAGTTTTTGGACCCAGGTATGGCAGATATAGCAAGAAAACAGTGGAAATATCTGGCAGAGCTAAAAATGGGTGATATGAGCCTTTTCAGTCCGCCTAATGAGCATGGGAGTCCATGCTGCTGTTCAACACGTGCTCAGGCGGGCTGATTCGTGTCGGTGAGAGAGGGGGTAACTTCAAGCACAAGTAAAATACACGATGGACGTTTCTTCACATCGTGTCTGCATGAAATCAAAATGTCCCAGAATGCTCGTCATGCTGGTATATAATTTTGCAATATATATTTGCATTTTAACGCCACTAAACCTCCTTACTTTTTAACAAGTAAAAAAAATCACCCTGTACACCAATGTTAAGAGCTAAGGGATAAAGATTTGCTCGTTTTCTTAAATGCAACATACTGAACGCACAATGGCTGGGTTTGATTCGCGCTACTCCCAGCTCCAACTGCGTCAGTTTCCACCCACCGTTGGAGCGCTGTATGACGTGGTAGGTGGCCGCCTGGGTGCCCCGGCCCAGCTCCTCGCCAATGTCGCAGAAATCCTCGAACGGCTTGTTGCGCGGCTTTATGGAGCGTGCCGGTGAGTAGGAAATGTAGTTGTACATCGCGTCGTCAAACTCGACGTGCAGCATGGCCTGCGGCGGGAGGAGAGACATTAGAGGGACGGTGTGCTGGTGTCTTCTTGAAATTAAAAGGGCGATTCTCATTGCCTTTATTTTCTAGTTGGGTCCTTTTGCCCTGCAATTAAAACGCCGATGATCCTATGCTGTGCCTTTATGCCGGCGAAACTACACTTATGGCTACAGTTTCATTGATGGGCTATGCGCTACGGACTCGTTTAATTTACGGATTGATTTGACGCTTGCCGTACACGGCGACTTCATCATCACCGCAGCACTGGTGGTTCCCTGCCAATGCGCCTGTTCCTTACGACACGCGGTTAGCTCTTATCAGTAAAGTGGAAGTTTCTCACCAAGTCTCTGGCGGTTCTTACCGACGCGCTGGTGGTTCTTACCGACGCGCTGGTGGTTCCCGCGGGCGTGGTGGCGCTGACCGAGTACAGGCCGCCGTCCCTCGGAATCAGACAGCCGTTCACCAGCAGGATACAGGTGTCCGGCTCGCGCCACAGGATCCGCACGCGTTTGTCGCTCTTCAGCGGCTTCCAGTCCTTGTACCACTGGATCTGCAGGACAGGCATGGGTCAACCAGTAACTAGCTGAGAGGGTTGAAGACACTTCCGCTGTAAAGGATTTGAACAGTACGTAGGGCTCATCTCACTTCACCCTATTCCTTCTACTTCGCATCTTCCTCGTCATCCAAGCACCCTATCATGGGGTTAGTCACCATCCACCATTCTATAACCTTCCATCAACCCTAACCCCACCCACTGCCTCTCTCCCCTCACCTGCGGCATTGGCACGCCGGTGACGCGGGCCTCGAAGCGCGCCTGTTCGCGCTGCATCACGGTCGTCTCCTCGGGGTGCTGCAGGAAGCGCGGCGGCTCGGACATCCGCAGGATCACCTTCTGCCGCGCCTCGCCGTACTTACTGGTGCACAGCGCCTCGTACACGCCCTGGTCGCGCTCCTGCATACTGGGGGTGGGGGAGGAATGTTGGTAAAAGTCGCGTCAGACGAGAACAGAGGGTAAGGTTACTCGTCACTGGTCATGTCAAGGGCTGAAACCAGAGATACTTGATTGATATGGCTGTGAGCCTCAGTCGAGAGCTATGGTGAATACTTGGACTTCTATCCTTTCAGTTTATCTCATCAATTTGTCTGCCTGGCATAATCAAAGGATTCCTGCATCGTGTCACGTCGTAAAAATCCTGTCGTTTTATTGGATACTGGAAAGGAGGCACTTTTGTTCGGCGTACATATGTACATACAGATCTCGTTTCTGTTTCCGACCAACCTGTTGATGACCAAGGTCAATTCGCCGGCGTTGTTGTAGGAGCAGCTGTATCGGCCCGTCATCTCGATGGTCACGTTGTTGAAGGTGAAGCTGAAGTCGGGCTTGGGGAAGCCGAAGATGTACCAGCGGAGCTTGGCGTCGCGGCCCTTAACGCCGTACTGCATGTTACTCTCCTGACGTAGGAAACTGCGGACGTCACAGAGGTTAGCTTCAACTGGATGGGTTTTACTGTCGTGCGTGGTCTGCTTGGTGCCATGATTCTCTGTGCCTTATAACCCATATGGGCATTTCAGGGAAAACCTTCGAGGAACCGTGGACGAAGCATCGATAGAGGAGAGCGGGGCCAGTTGAAACACAGGGTCAGATGAAACATGGCTTTATTTTCAACAGTATGCAACATATGGCGTTGCCGACACCACTGCGGATCCGCGCTCGACCACTTCCTTTGTCAACGGCGTTTGGGCGGCAAACGGAAGGTAATTTTGATTTGACACTTGTTTTTGTGTTTTTGAGGGGCGTTTGGGAGAAATCGTTTTGATTAATATTTTGTGATATCTCATATACCTTTGTTTGCTGAAAGAAGAACTCCTGACTCCGGAATAACACCTTATTTGGCCCTTCATTCAGCATGATGCCGTCCCTCCAGCTCGTTTGACATGTGCTTTACGGCGCGTGCGAGATGGCGGGAGCGGATGGGGTCATTTGAAACGCTTCTCTGAGGGTCAGTTGAAACAGGGCCACAGGCCGTTTCAATGGACCCCGGTGACCTTTGCAATGGCTATTGTTCAGGGGCTGTAAACATTAAAGGAAATAGTCCACCTTTGAAATGAGCTTTTAAACTGAAATAGTAGTTTAATAGAGCTCAATTTTTTACCCCTTTTTCTCCAGCCTTTTGCTTGAAAGCACACTATAGCCTGAGATGTTTCTCATTTTTCTCATCCGCCCATTTTACCATAGCCTATGTACTTTATGTTACCTATTATGAGGAACTTTGCACTTTTAGCTTTCCAACGACCTATTGAATGTAGCATTTGGAAAAGTAAACCGGACAAAATATCTCCTTAAGAAAGTGGCCTTAAAGAGGAAAACATCCCATTGTTAAGGATAGGTGCAATTGACCCCATGGGCTGGTTCAATTGACCCTCGCATCGGGGTCATTTGAAACGGGCGTAGAGCTGTTTTATAAGCATGCGTTTGGCAGCAAAATATGTTTGAAACATAATTTTACGTATCTTAAAATAAAGCCAAAAGAGCATATTTTTTCATGGCATTGTGCATTTTTTTGATATGACAACTAGATCTCGCTGTACATCACATATATAAAAATCAAAACGTCCGTATGTATGTATGTATGTATGTACGTATGTATGTGACGCGTCAGTCACGCTTGGCGGGCTATTGCTCTGGAACGGTGCGGGCTACGGGGGTGAAATTTTCGACGTAAGTCGGACGCGTGCATCTGTTTGTCGTATCAACTTTTCGAGGGGGTGGGTTCGGCGGTTTGCACGTGGCGGGCGCATCTTTGCGGCATTTTGGGCCGCGGCCGGCGCCGAGCAGACGGCACGCGCCCTAGGCTCAGATTGTTCGCTGCGAAAATGAGGGAAAACAGAGTCGGAGGTCGTTGACCTTTGGCAATGAATACCGGAACAGAGCACCGCCGGCCAGGAGGAGACGCCAAATTTATTCTGGCCATAACTCGGCCGCTACTGGGCCGATTGCAATGAAACTTGGTTTATTACGCTGCGCTTAATGCTGTCCCTCTTTACGCTGCGCGTAATGCTGTCCCTCTAGTCACATATATAAAAATCAAAACGTCCGTATGTATGTATGTATGTATGTACGTATGTATGTGACGCGTCAGTCACGCTTGGCGGGCTATTGCTCTGGAACGGTGCGGGCTACGGGGGTGAAATTTTGGACTTAAGTCGGACGCGTGCATCTGTTTGTTGTATTAAATTTTGGGAGAGGTGCGCTCGGTGGTTTGCACGTGGCGGGCGCATCTTTGCGGGATTTTGGGCCGCGGCCGGCGCCGAGCAGACGGCACGCGCCTTAGGCTCAGTTTCTTCGCTGCAAAACTGGGTGAAATCAGAGCCGGAAGGTCACTGACCTTTGGCAATGAATACCGGAACAGAGCACCGCCGGCCAAGAGGAGACGCCAAATTTATTCTGGCAATAACTCGGCCGCTACTTGACCGATTTTAATGAAAATTGATTTATTACGCTGCGCGTAATGCTGTCCCTCTAGTCCCATATATAAAAATCAAAACGTCCGTATGTATGTATGTATGTATGTATGTATGTATGTGACGCGTCAGTCACGCTTGGCGAGCTATTGCTCTGGAATGGTGCGGGCTACGGGGATGAAATTTTGAACGTAAGTCGGACGCGTGCATCTGTTTGTTGTATTAAATTTTGGAAGAGGTGCGTGCAGCGGTGTGCACGTGGCGGGCGCATCTTTGCGGGATTTTGGGCCGCGGCCGGTTTCGAGCAGACGGCACGCGCCTTAGGCTCAGTTTCTTCGCTTTCAAAACTGACCGAAATCAGAGCCGGAAGGTCACTGACCTTTGGCAATGAATACCGGAACAGAGCACCGCCGGCCAGGAGGAGACGCCAAATTTATTCTGGCCATAACTCGGCCGCTACTGGGCCGATTTTAGAGGTAGTGTGCCAGCTTTCCTGGACCGTATGGAGTTAATGGCCCAGATAAGGAGAACCGGATTTTTAGAACTTATCCATACCTTCAAAGCTCATGGAAACGTCTTAAATTCTTCAAATTTTGAGTACCCCAGTGCGAAATTCGCCCCGACGGGTTGTCGGTCGTACCCCAACCACATTTCACACCACTATGAACAATAAATGCACACACTGAAATCGCTATTACCGATAGGCTCATCCAATCAAGTTTCGATAAACCCGTTCATCATCATCTCCTGCGGTTTCGAACACGCCTGTTAGGTGGTGCGGTACACTGGCGGATCCAGGGGGGGGCATTAGGGGCATATGCCCCCCCCGACAGGAGCCTGGGGAGGGCATTCAGTACAAGTATGCCCCCCCCGTTCAGACTTACACTTCTTACGCCTATAACGAGGAACTAAATAAAAATGGTTTAGAAAGCCTTCCTAGTAACTACTTTTGTGATCAGAGTCGTTTTAGTCAGCGGCGCGAGAACTTCTTCCAGACTGGGGGGGCTGAACCATAATAGAGATCAACCTAGGGTACCCCCAAATCTAGTTTTCTCACCGGTTTTAGGCCACTTATTTTTCAGACTTTGGTCTTTTCAACAACAACAACAAAAAAAAAACGAAAAATGCAAAAAGTGAGGCATTCCGTCTCAGCTGAGTGAAGAAACTACCGTTTTGGCAGCCTGGAGTAAAGGTTTTAATCTGTCAAATGAGTTGCCGAGCCAGTGAAAGAGGTGGATTTTTCACTTACATGCTTTCTTCCTATGTGACCCACAACCCCTAATTTGGGAAGGACAAGCTGCCCAACGGTTCCTGGCCTCATGAAAAGTTGTGTGGACCGCCCCCACGGCCGCAGAATTGTGGGGGCAAGCTTCCCCCACTGCCCCCTCCCCCGGTTCCCGCGCCTATGTATGAATCTATGAAATTGTGTTGGTAGATTTCCGATTTCGATTCCTCCAGCTGGAGGGGGGGGGGGGCTCAAATACATTACGAGCCCCCCCAGCTTTTCGGCTGGGGGGCTCAGCCCCCGCTAGCCCCCCCCCCTCCCGGTTCCCGCGCCACTGGTTTTAGTAACGTCAATTTAGTTGTCATTGCTTTATTTTGTCTAAAAATATGCTGCTTCTTAGTTCTAACCACAGGGGAGTCATGCCGCTTCAACCCTTCTGACCGTATTGTCTAACGATGGCACTCATATTGCGCAAATCATGCAGGAATCGGCCGCCGCCTATGCTTGGGAATGGGGATGGTTAGAATATGATTTACCTGTATGGCCGCAGCCAGTGCAGCGTAACCGGGGGGGGGGAGGGGCACAAGGGGCGCGTGCCGCCTCATTAGATGCATGGTGCCCTATGGGCCCGAGAGGCCCTGCAGTGCCAATTGGCCGCTCAGGGTCCAAGCGTGCCTTATTTCGACTGAGATAAGACCCGCAGGCCTCGTGAGGGCACCTCACAGAGTCACGGGCTCCTGAGTCACATCACACATCACATCACACATCACACATCTCCATAAGGGTCCCACTCCGGCTTCTAAGGGCCCTGTGCTGGCCTCTGAGTGACCTTGCTGACCTATTAAGCGTCAGCTCTAATTAGGGTCCTGGCCCATACCCGCATGGAACGCCTCCACAGTTCCACATCAGTGTCTCTGAGGGCCCATAACGGCGCCTGTGGGGGTCTTACACCGGCGCCTTTGAGGGCCCAACACCGCCAATCTGAGGGACTAACACCAATATTTCTTAAGGCCCTACATCGGCGGCGGCTCTGAGGGCCCCACACTGGCGCCTCTGAAGGTCTTTCACAGGCGCATCTGACGGCTACCTACCTGCACTCTGTGGGCCCCACACTGGTGAGTCTGAGGGCTCCCAGTGACGCCTGAGAGTACCACGCCGGTCTCCAGAATCCCGCAAGGCTCCTGAAACCCTCTGCTGGCCCTTGCTGGTCTCTTGAAGACCCCTTGCCCCCATGCATGTGTCTCTGAGTACTGAGGACTCCCACAACGATGCCTTTGAAAGTCTTCACCGGTGACTGTGAGGGCACCACACAGACGCGTCTGAGGGCCCTACACCGCCACCTCTGAGACACCAGTGTCTCCTGAGGCCCACATCGGCGACTCTCAGGGTCCCACACCGGCGCCTCTGGGGCCCCACACCAGTGCCTCTGGCAGCCAGCCACCGGTAACTCTGTAGGTCCTACACCGGTGACTCTGAGGGCCCCACCGGCGTCTGAGAGTACCATGCCGATCTCTAAGGATTCCACAGGGCTCCTGAAGACACTTGCCGGCCTGTGAAGGCCCATTGTTGGCATCATACGGCCTGTTACCGGCCTCTGAGGGCCCTTTGTCGGTCTCTGAGAGGTCCTACTGCGTTATTAAGCATTCGCATTTCGCACCAACAACTCCAAGGGCCCCACACACAGCCATCTGTGAATGGTGTGGGCTTAGCGCCACACCAGTGTCTGAGGCACCACAACGACGTCCATGTGAGGGCCTCACACCAGCACCTTAGAGGGC